CCTCTCCTCCCCTCCCCCTCCCCCTAACCCAACCACCACCACCACACCACCTCCCCCTCCCCCCCCCCACCCACACACACACGTATACATACGCCACAGAAACACAACATGGCACTGGTGGCATGCAAGGCGGCGTGCAAGGCTTGTGACTTTGTGGGCGACTCGGTGGCGGCGTGCGCTGGAGCGGTCGAGGAGGGCTGTGCTGCCATCTGTCCGGCCGACAAGCCGCTGCCCATCTTCCTCACCTTTGCTCTGGCTACAAACGCCATTTCGGGCGTCATGTCGCTGGTGTATGCCGCAAGAGAGTGGAGCAACTCGTGCGGCGAGCCGTTGCAGACCTTCTGTCTTGTCGCCGGCTTTATCGCTGCCGTCAATGTCGCCTTTGCCTCGTATCTGTACTACCGCACCGCCCATCCGCTGCCCGGCATGGAGGAGAACTCGGTCCTCGACCGCTCGTGGCATCTGTTTCTCTACGACCCAGGCGTGTACTGCTACCTGTTCTTCTACCTCTTTGCCTTTGGCTGGAACTTTGCCGGCGCCTCGTGGCTTGCCGACTCGCAGTGCAAGGGCTCGGATCTGCACCGCATGGCCTCGGCGGCCTCGTTGCTGCTCTGGCTGTACCTCGGCGGCGGCGTGGCGGTCATTGTTCTCTCACTCTGCTTTCAGTGCTCGCGCGAGGACGACGTTATGGCTGCCCGTCGCGCAAGGGTCCGCGAGCAGCACTCGCGGCGCGCCGCGGCCTCGACCGCGTACTCGGGCCCGCCGCCAGTGGCGTCGGCCGCGGACAGCGCCCCGGCCTCGCCGCGGGTAGCCCGCTCGCTCCGCCCCATGGCCCGCCCACTGCGGAGCCCGGGCAAGTACACTCCGGCGCCGGTCTCGCCGGCCAAGCACGTGGGCAGCTTTGCGGCCGCGCGGCCGTCGAGCCCGCCGCCGCAATACGCGCCGGCAGCCTCGCCAGCGGTTGTCAGCCCGCCGCGCGGCTACCGGCAGGCCCAGTACTGATCGCAGAGGCAGACGTGTTCACTTGCGCGGCGCAATGTCAAACTCAAAGGAGACGTCCTCGGGGAGGTTGGGTGCGGAGCCAGCCGGGGCGGCGGCGAGGGCGTCAATGGCGGCCTGCGGAGCGCGGATAGTGACAACCGACTCGCGGTCGAGGCCACCCTCAAGAACGCGCAGGGCGAGCGGGTTGACGATCTGGCGCTTGATGACGCGGCCGAGTGGGCGGGCGCCGTAGACTGGATCGTAGCCGAGGGTGGCAAGCAGGTCTTTGGCGCGTCGTCGAGCTCGAGCGTGATCCGCTTGTCCTGCAGGGTGGTGACAAGGTCGGCGACCTGGATGTCGACGATGGAGCGCATGGTGGTCCGGTCGAGGCGGTTGAAGAGAACCACCTCGTCGATGCGGTTGACAAACTCGGGCGCAAAGAACGACTGGACCTGCTCCAGTACCGCAGGCTCGGCCTCGGACGCAGGGGCGCCGTCGGGCAAGCCGGCAAGCGCTGACGAGCCGAGGTTTGACGTCATGAGGATGACGGTGTTGGTAAAGTCAACGGTCCGGCCCTGACCGTCGGTGAGGCGGCCGTCGTCGAGGACCTGCAGCAGGACGTTGAAGATCGACGGATGGGCCTTCTCGACCTCATCGAGCACAACAAGCGAGTATGGCTTGCGGCGAACAGCCTCAGTCAGCTGGCCGCCCTCATCGTGGCCGACATAGCCCGGTGGCGCGCCGGTGAGCCGCGACACAGTGTGCTTTTCGGCATACTCGGACATGTCAATGCGGATGAGCGCCGTCTCAGTGTCAAACATGTACTCAGCAAGCGCCTTGGCGAGCTCGGTCTTGCCGACCCCGGTCGGACCGAGGCAGAGGAACGAGCCAATGGGTCGCGACTTGGGCGCGAGGCCGGCGCGCGAGACCCGGATGGCCGACGCGACGGCCTGGAGCGCCGCGTCCTGCCCTGCCACCCGCTTGCTGAGCACGTCTTCGAGATGGAGCACCTTGTCGCGCTCGCCGTGGAGGAGGCGGTCCGTTGGAATGCCGGTCGTCCGCGCCACCACCGACGCAATGTCGGCGTCGGTCACGGCCTCGGAGAGCAGCTCGAGCTCAAGGTCCTCGTCGTCGTCAGGCACGGCCTCTTCGAGCTTGGGAATGATCGAGTACATGAGCTCGCCGGCTCGTGCGAGGTTGCCCTCGCGCTGCGCTTTGGCCAGCTCGGCGCGCGCCTCTTCGAGCTCCTGCTGCGCGTTCTTGGCGCGGTGCAGGAGGTCGCGCTCGATCTGCCACTTAGAGTGCAGCTTGCTCGCCTCCTCCTGGAGGCCGACAAGCTCGCTCTCCAGCGCCGCAAGCCTCTCCTTGGACGCCAGATCCGTCTCCTGCTTCAGCGCCTGCGCCTCGATCTGCATTCGCAGCACGCGGCGCTCGAGCTTCTCCAGGCTCTCTGGCTTGCTCTCGGACTCGAGCCGGAGTCGAGCCGCAGCCTCGTCAATGAGGTCGATGGCCTTGTCGGGCTGGAACCGGTCGGCAATATACCGCGACGAGAGCGTGGCCGCCGCAATGCATGCCGCGTCGGTGATGCGGATGCCGTGGTGCGCCTCGAGCTTGGGCTTGAGCCCACGCAGGATCGAGACCGTGTCGTCTGTCGACGGCTCCTCAATGAGGACCGGCTGGAACCGCCGCGCCAGTGCCGCGTCCTTCTCGATGATACGGTACTCGGCAAGGGTAGTTGCACCGACGCAGTGCAGCTCACCGCGCGCGAGCGCAGGCTTGATCATATTGCCGGCGTCCATCGAGCCCTCAGCGGCGCCGGCGCCCACAATGGTGTGGATCTCGTCGATGAAGAGGACCACGTCGTCGGCCGAAGTCACATCCTTCAACACTTCCTTGAGTCGCTCCTCAAACTCGCCGCGGAACTTGGCGCCGGCCACCATCGCCGACACGTCGAGCGAGGCCACACGCTTCGACTTGATCGACTCGGGCACGTCGCCGGCCACAATCCGCTGCGCGATGCCCTCAACCACCGCCGTCTTGCCCACTCCGGGCGAGCCAATCAGAATCGGGTTGTTCTTCCGCCGCCGTGCCAGTACCTCGAGCGTCCGCCGGATCTCTGTGTCGCGCCCGATGACCGGATCGAGCTTGCCCTCGCGCGCCGCAGCCGTCAGATCGGTCGCGTACTTGTTGAGCGCCTCGCCGCGGACCCGAGCGTCCGGATGGACCCACGGCTCGGGCTGCCGCGGTGGCGGCGGAGGCGGCGGCCTCGACGATGCCCATCGCGCAGCCGCCAGCCGCCAGGTCGCCGCCACCGCGCCTCCAGTCGGCATCGTCGTCCACGCCAGGAAGCCCCACTTTGCCGCCTCCCCGCCCGCTGCCGCCCGTGCAGTCGCGACGCTCTTTGCTGTCGCCGGGAGCTGGCGAACGAGTGTGCGGAGCATGGAGAGATGCTGTGGGTATGTGTGTAGGATGTGGTGTGCGAAGAGAGTGAGATGTGGCTCCAAGGAGGTGGCAGGCCAGGACGCGTCACCGTCACCAACAGGTGGCCTCCGCTGGGCGACTGGGTCAACATGAGTCGGTTGCGAATTCTGTGGTGTGTTCGTGAAGCCTCGGCGGCAAACGTGTGAGGGTTTTTGATGAGCAGTGCATGGTGCATAGCGATCTTAGGCTCTGATGGAAGAAAGGGAAGTGGGGAGAAGGGGGAGGGTGGGGGGGGGGGGGAGGGGGAGGGGAGGGCAGTGGGTCGGGGGGA